GTGGACTGTCTGGCAGGGAGCTGGGAGGGAGCAAAAACGTGGACTGTCTGGCAGGGAGCTGGGAGGGAGCAAAAATGTGGACTGTCTGGGGGTCCCTGTGGATTGGGTTGGGAAACACTGCTCTAAAAAGAAGAGGTTCCTGATGTATATATACAAGCATATTAAATACATTTAGTCTGTTGATGAAATTTTTTAAAGCATAAGTCCCTTTCTGTCATCTATAGGAAAAACACAAAACATAAAAAACCTTATAGCAAAATATCTTGATTTCATTTTCTGAAATGTTTGTGAGAAAATGGCATTAAAATGCACATAATGCAATAATGAGAACACACAAACTCCACCAAGACAGAACGAGGAATCAAAACCCCTAGCCCAGGCAGTGTGAGAACGGTGACTGATTCTGATACCTGTACTCACCAGGGTGTGACATACTGTGTGTTGCAACAGTTATTTAGTCCATCCATTTTCTGAAACTATTCAGGGTTGCAGAGGGTCCAGACCCTATCCCAGAGGTTACAGGTGCAAGGCAGGGAACAGCCCAGGACAGGGGAGGGGGGGGGGCGCACACACACACACACACACACACACACACACACTTTGGCAACTCCAATTTACCAGTGCATGTTTTGAACCGAGGGGGGAGGGGCAATTGGAATGCCTAGAGGAGATTCCACAACAACATGGGGAGAACACACAAACTTGGTAGAGGCTCAAACCCTGGTCCCAGAGGTGTGAGACACCAGCCCTAACCACCACACTACTACACCACCCCAGTCATATTGCATGCAGTATTAAAAATTTCTGTCAGTTGTGCCACAGTAGCCTTTCTGTCACTCTGTACCAGACGGGACAGCCTCTGTTGCCCTCACAGAGTAATGCGACAGTCCGCCCAACAGTCGCCAGTTTGTGGTTTTTTCTTCCTCCGACCACTTTCAGTAGGTACTCACCAGCACTAACCAGGAGCACCACACAAACCTTGTCGTCTGCCCATGACAATTTGTCCCTTGTTCACGTCACTCAGACCTTTATGCATGCCCATTTGCCAATATGTGACGTGGGAAAAGAAGCATGCCAATGAACGTGTACGTATGCAAATAGCAAATAACGGACCATATCATTTACATGTCTGTATCTTGAATGGAGAGCAAGATGGGACATGTGAAATCCAATACAGATTAATAAAAGTGCTACTACTGTATTCTCCAACAGGTCCACTTATTAAATTGAAGTTTGGCCAGGGAATTACTCTTTATGCCTCTGGCACGTGTAATGAATTCTTAAATATCTTATGAATCATAATTTATTACACATGGTCAGGCACAGAATTCATCACTCTATCATGTTTAGGACTTTACCTTCATTATACCGCGGTCAGCTTCATTATCACGTCAGCCAAGCTCAAGCTGGTTATGCGTCTTATTGCAGCCTTCAATAAAAAAATGTCAAATTGGGACACTTTAGTAAGTACTTTTCATCAAATATTAATAAATTAATCAGTCTGAGCCAGCCCTTGGCAAGTGGGCATATTATTCCATCACCAGAAGCCAAGTTTCTGAAGAGGAAATCGTCTACCAATTAGGAATCCTTTGATTAAAAGTCAGGCAAATATAACAGCAAACATTTTAGCATGGAGGATTAACAGCTTATGTATAATTACATTTTATGCATGTTCTCAAATTTCAAAATTAGAGCAAATCATTCACTGTTTTTAATTACGCAAACCAGTTCATTTTTGTCAATACCAAGTGAAAAGACATGTTATAGTTGTAAAAAATAATCCATTATCACTTGAACTACTACCTCAATGTAAAAATAAGCACAGATATTTAGGAGACATAAACGTATTGTTGCACTGAAGTTCATCTTAAGTGTCCATGTACAGTATGTGTGCATACACTCAATAGCCACTGTATTTGGTACACCTAGCTAGTACAGGTAGGACCGACTGTTTTAGGTAGACCTAGGTAGTACAGGTAAGACCCACTATATTAGGTATACCTACCACTGTATTAGGTACACCTAGGTAGTACAGGTAGGACCCACTGTATTAGGTACACCTAGCTAGTACAGGTAGGACCCACTGTATTAGGTACACCTAGGTAATACAGGTAGGACCCACTGTATTAGGTACACCTAGGTAGTATAGGTAGGACCCACTTTTCCCTCCAGAGCAACTTCATTCTGTGTACTTCTTTATATTTCTACAAGCTTCAATGAGTTTAGCCATTCTCCTCTGATCTCATTAAGAAGGTTTTTCAGTAACAAAACTGCATTGTATCTTTGTGTACTGCACAAGCCTTATATTAACCTAGCCACATACTAAAATAACAGGTTTGAAGCCCCCTAAATTTGTTAGCTATAGATGAGGCACAAAGCCAGTTACCTCTTTGACCCTGTACATTTAGTGTAATGCAATGTGTATGCAGTTGCAGAATGATTCACTGCTTGCTGTGTTAACATGCAGATTTATCAAATAAATTGGACACATAATATATTTGTAATTAATATAGCACATGATTATTTTTTGCTTGTTTATTTCCATGCTACAAGAGCCGTAACTTTCATATAAGATTCACATCAAAAATGCCTGGAGACAAGAAAAGCGCTTGTGTCTTACAAAATAAGCACTGCCTGGGTACTTAACAGCTAATGAAATTTCTGCTTATACCCAATTTAAACTAATCTATTGGCAAATTATACTCAAGTGCACCTTTTTATGGTTTTATCAAACATTCTCACAGGAGGTCATATTCTGGACCTTGGGATAAAATTTGAATTGGATTAGTTTGCGTAGTCAGTGGTATTAAGGTGTTTGTCAGAATAGAGCTGTAAAATGCTCAGTTTGAAACATAGATGTTGGATCGAGTGTGATTTCAGCCTCCTAACAGCCAGTTGACATCTGTAAGCATTAGTCATTTTTTCTGTTAAAATAACACAATGCTAGAACCTTCTAAATTAAATGTAGGTTACCTCATTGAGATGAATATGGAAATTGTGAAAAAACATAGAAGCACAATATTTTTGAATATGATAAATAATTAGAAAGTGAATTGGAAAAGGTTACAATTTATGTGTGTAAATGTACTAAATGTATGATATAGATAAAAAGTGTGTCATGTTACCACTAAATTTGGTAGCCCATAGATGACATAGTTGAAAGCCCAGGGAGAAACGGAGACATTATTCTGGGCTTTGGAGTTGGAACTACCTTCCTTACACGTTTCAGGAAGCTCTGACGACATGGCAGCTGCAAGACAAGCAAACAATCAAGAATTATTTTCATTAAAATCAACCAGATTTAATAACAGAACCTGAACTTTGGGCAACATGGAAACTTTTTTTATATCCATTCGCACAATGTAAGCCAAAAAGAACTAATATAATGAAAGAAACAGAAGGTCCAGCAAGGTGTAAGAAACTTGGGAATTATTTTAACCTGTGTGTCTCAAGGAATATGTTCATGCGAAATCCAGAGATTCAATCTGAACAAAAGAACATTCTGTTCAAGTTCTCTACCTCTGTGATCTGTAGGTACCATACTTCCATCAGTGGGAAAATTTTGGGCTTCATGTCTTCGAAGATCATGGACTGTCTGGCCTGAAGTCATTCCAGTCTTCAAAAGGTCTACACAAAAAATAGAGCGTGCATACGTGCACACACAAGCACGTATAGACACATGCACACACACACACACACACACACACATGCACACAGACTTAATTTCTATATATGGGGAAAATTCAAATCACAACATGACGACCTTAACCCTATCCAGCCGTAACCTTAACCATAAGGAACCAAACAAAATACGAGACTCTTGGCATTTTTACTTCTATAGTTGCATTCACAGATCTTTGTGGGGTGCATTAAATAATCCTTGCTTGGTACTGTTGTGTGGTATTCCTCAGTTTTATTAGCAAGTTTCACCTGAAGATTACACAGTCAATGAATGTTTTGAATACTTACTCTCCAGAATAATATCCATGTTGTGCACATTCCTCTGAATGGTGGTGTGCCACTGATTGAGCATAATGCAGTGAACCCCACTGAGACTGAGGAGCACTGCTGTCTCTACGGGGCTTTCCAGTGTCAGCTGCCTCACACTGTAAAAAAATAAGTGGTATTATGTGCACAAAACAGTATGATGTCAAATTTCATAATGGACTACAATTTATCTGCCACAGATAACATCAATAAATACAACTAAAAACAAATACATCATGGATAATTTTGTCCAAACCATCAAGCGCTATACACATTGCCATAAGGTGCTGGGTAATACATACACATTATACTCATACATATACATTTGATTAGCTTCTTTTGCATAGATTTCTGATAGATTTCTGGATTTACAAGCAAATGTAGTACAT